CAGTCCAGAGGATTCTCAGGAGTCTTCTCCAGCACCACGAGTGGAAAGCATCAATTCTTTGGTGCTCAGCCTTCTTTATGATTCAGCTTTCACATCTGTACGTGACTACTGGCAAACCATAGCTGACTGGTGGCAAAACCATAGCTTTGACTAGACAGACCTTTGTCAGCAAAGTGATGTCTCTGCTTTTTAATACACTGTCTAGGTTTGTCATAGCTCTCCTTCCAAGTAGCAAGCATCTTTTGATTTCCTGGGTGCAGTCGCCATCCATAGTTATTTTGGAATCCAAGAAAATAAAATCTGTCTGCTTCCACTTTTTCCTCTTCTGTTTGCCATGAAGTTATGGGACCAGATGCAGTGTCTTAAATTTTTTAATGTTAAGTTTCAAGCCAGCTCTTTCACTCTCCTCTTTCACCTTCAACAAAAACTCTTTAGTTCCTCTTCACTTTCTGCCATTTGAGTGGTATCATCTCCATATCTGAGGTTGTTGGTATTTCTCCTGGAAATCTTGATTCCAGTTTGTGGTTCATCCAGCCCAGCATTTTGCATGATGTACTCTGCATATAAGTTAAATAAGCTGGGTGACAATATATAGCTTTGTTGTACTCCTTTCACAGTTTTGAACCAGTCATTTGTTCCATGTCTGATTGTAACTGTTGGTTCTTGATGTGCATACATGTTTCTCAGGAGACAGGTAAAGTGGTCTGGTACTCCCACCTCTTTCAGCATTCTCCACGGTTTGCTGTGATCCACACAGTTAGAAGTTTAGTGTAGTCAGCAGCAGAAGTAGTTGTGTTTGCGGAACTCCCTTACTTTTTCCATAATCCAGTGAATTCTGGCCGTTTGATCGCTGGTTCCTCTGCCACTTCAAAACCCAGCTTGTGCATCTGGAATTTCTCAGTTCACATACTGCTGAAACCTAGCTTGAATTTAAAAAGTACACATATAAAAAAGCAGGAAAATGTGACCCTTAACTAGGATTAAAAGAGCTAATTGAAACAGATCAGAAATGGTAGAGGTGATGGACTTTGATGAAAAGAACTTTCATGGTTACATGAGAAATACGAAGTGAAATACTTGTATGCTGAAAACAAATACCTCTGAAAAAAAGCAAAGGCAAATAAATAGAAAAGCATTGCATAATCATGCATTGGGGGAATTAACATTGTTAACATGTCAAACTACCATAAGCAATCTACAGATTCAATGCAATCCCTATCAAAATTCCAAGTAGTTTTTTTTACAGAGGTAGAAAAACAACCTTAAAATTCATATGGAATCACAGAAGACCCCTGAAAAGTCCAAGCAATTATGAGCCAGAGACATGAACCTGGAGACATGACACTTCCTGATTCAAAATATATTGTAGTAATCAAAGCAATATGACATTAAAAAATACATAAACCAATGGCTAGACTAATAAAAAAAGAAAGATAACACAAATAACAGATATGAGAAAATAGTAGAGAGAAGTTACTTCAGACCTACAGACATTAAAGGCATTTTAACTTCGTTGCACTAAATAAAGTCAGATTAAAAGTTAATGTATTGTATGATACCATTTCTATGACATTCTTGAAAAGACTAAATTATAGGAATAGGAACTGTTTTCTATCCTGGTTGTGATGTGTATAGTACATATATATCATGTGGTTATGGTATACATGTTTCAAAACTTCCAGAATTTCACACTTAAAAAGGGAAGATTTTACTGTATGTTAATTATAGCTTAATTAGCCATTTATGATAGCATAAAATATGAAAACTTAGAGGTAAGTTTAGTAAATATATCTAAGACATATATCTCAAAAAATTTTGAGAGAAATTTTAAAGAAACTAATAAATAAGGCAGTTTACCACCTTATTCATAACAAAACAGAAGTCTCCGCATTCTTAGAACATTCATCTACTGAAGTTGACTGATCTGTGTCTCAGTGTAATATCATTGAAAAATCACAGCCAATCTATTTTGTACAAATTGAAAAAGTGATTCTAAAATGAGTATGGAGATTCAGAAAATGTATAATATTCAAAGCAGTCTCAAAAAGGAAGAACATGGAGCACTTAACACTAACTATATTCAGTCTTGGTATAAAGTTCCAATAGTAAGTATAACGTGTTATTGACATAATGATATTTATATAGTCAAACATACACTTATGAGACCGGTAAATTCTCTTCCTAGATTTTTAGTCATAGAAAATGAAAATACATAGCCACTGAAACATTTGTACATAGGTTTTTATGACATTATTATTTATAATATCCACAAACCGAGGGGAAAAATACTGTTTTTCTGTGGGTGCACAGAGAAGCAAATATCCTTGAGCCATGTAATGAAATGCTAATAACTAAGAATAAAAAGAGATGAATCTCAAATATAGAATGTGTAAACGAGTCTCAAAAAGATTATAATGAACAAAATAAGCCAGTTTAAAAAAGAGCACATAGTACATGTTGTATGATTTCATTTGTATGAAATTCTGTAGCTGGTGAGCTACAGAATGTACCTGGGTGACATGTCATCTTTGGTGACAAGGTAAATCTGTGTTGAGTCCAAATGGTGTGTAGCATCAACAAAAGGGAGTAAAATTTGGGAGGTTGACGAAACTGTTTCCTGTTGGTTATGATTTTTTTTGCATTGGTGTTGATGAAGACTCAGAACTTAAGACTTTTACACTTATATCCATTTCATTTACTGTAAATTGCACATCAAGTGAAGTTGATTTTTAAAATAGTACATGAGCTGTTCATTTTTTTAGTTTAGAAAATGGTGTTTTAGTTCTTTCTTTTCACTCTATTAATATTGTTGGAGGAATTACAAAAAAAGGAAGTATTAGTTTTAATTAGCACAGTGGAAGCAGTGACATCATTTCAGCTCTTGTGTTTATTTTAAGGAAGCCAACTTTACTAAGTGATATATAGATATATACCTGTATATATACTAAGTGTATATATATATCTGTGTGTATATATATATATAGATATACAGATAAATCATACTTGTCAGCAAACACTTAAGGGCAAGAGGATGTTTTGTATATACTTATTTTCAGTTCACACAAAATGTCTTAAAATGATTGTATCCCTAATTTTATTAACATGGAAAAATAAAGAAGAATGCATAGTAAATTTATGTTTAGAAGATACCATATTCTGGACATTTCTTCATGACAGTACCTCCTTAAAATCAACCTTTGTTGACATACGTGTCAGACACATCACAAGTTTCAGGAACAAGAAAATTTTCTCTTTGACTTATGACCTTTTTCCACACAAGACAAATATAGATTTATAAGGCAAATAGCAGTTGCTGATTATGTGAAAATATCATATACAAGAGAAGAGCCATTTTCAGGTGCAACATTAGCCTAAGTTGTTTGTTTTAGTAAAAATCTTCCATATGAAATCAGAATGGTCTTTGTAATAAACTTGAATTTGACTTTAAGATTTTTCTTTTTAATATCTTTAGATTGACTTTTATTTTTTAAAAAATTTATTTCATATTTCAGTAGAGCCAATTAACAATGTTGTGCTGTAATTTCAGGTGAACAGCAAAGGGACTCAGCCATACATGTATCCATTCTCCCCCAAACTCCCCTCCCATCTAGGCTGTACATAACATTGAGCAGTGTTCCATGTGCTCTCCAGTAGGTCCTTGTTGGTTATCCATTTTAAATATAGCAGTGTGTACATGCCCACCCCAACTCCTCACAATGTCTCTTCCTCACATTCCCCCCCTCCTCCAGCAACTATAAGTTCATTTTCTAATTCTGTGAGCCTCGTTCTGTTTTGTAAGTTCATTTGTATCATTTCTTTTTAGATTCCACATGTAAGGGATATCACATGATATTTCTTCTTCTCTCTCTGGCTTACTTCAGTAAGTATGACAGTCTCTAGGTCCATCCATGCTGCTGCCATTGGCATTATTATGTCCTTTTTAATGGCTGAGGAATGTTCCATGGTATATATTTACTACATCATCTTCATCCTTTTCTCTGTCCATGGACATTTAAGTTGCTTCCATGTCTTGGCTGTTTTAAACAGTGCTGCAGTGAATGCTGGGGAGATTCTTAAGGACATTTCTATCCTTTGATCAAATAATTCTACTTTTAAAAGAAAATTCATCAACGAGGACTGTGGTTTGAATTTAACACTCTTTCTCACATTAGAAGGAAGAGAGGAAATGTAAGGAATAATATTGATTGTTAATATTCTGATAGTATTTGTTAATGCCAGAAATTTTGTGGATTTGCCCAGTATAAAATGTCATTCGGTTAGCTTTCATTATATGCCTGCTACTGGGAGATAGTCTTGGGTAATAAACTTGGATTTATCCTTGTGAGGAGAATATTATCTATGTATACTTAAATTGACTTTTAGCTGTTGTGTTAATATTTATCTATTTCATCTAGGTTGCATGGAAACTAAATGCACTGTATGAGCAGCAACGACAGGGAGAATTGGATTGTTTCCTCTGGTGCTTCCCTGAATCAAAGGATCTAGATAACACCTTTACCCACACACAGAACATATTTAGATTTATTGAGTCATCTCTTATTTTTGAATATGCCAAAATGGACTGGCCTCTTTTTTTTTTTTTGCAGACAAATTGCAACATTTGTAATGGAATTGTAACACACTCCCATTTTAATGTTATTGAATTGCTATAAGTCATGTGAAAAGACTCAGTTCTTAGAACTTACTGTAATTCTTAACAACTTTACTGCCACAAATTTCTTTATTTTTCTCCTGTTTTTTTTGCTCTGTAATTAGAAGACATTTTGTTGTTACTGCTTTTATGAACTGTGATTTCTTTCCTCCTGCTTTGGAGTCATTTCAGTATCTACTTGGCCATTCATTTTTATTGGTTAATGTTCTAGATATTTTGAACTTTTGTACTTAGCTTATATTTGTGCTCTGATGTTTATTTCCTTGATTTTTATTTTAAATTTAGGAAGATTTTGACACTTAACCTGTTGTGGTATTTGTATTTACAGTTCCCTGAATGTGGTTTCTATGGAATGTATGATAAGATCCTGCTTTTTCGCCATGACCCTACCTCTGAAAACATCCTTCAGCTGGTGAAAACAGCTAGCGATATCCAGGAAGGGGATCTCATTGAAGTTGTCTTGTCAGGTAGTATACTTTTTCCTTATTCATAGATTAATACTTTGCATCTGGAGAATTCTTGGCCATAAGTTTTGCCTTTTTTGTTTGTTTGTTTGTTTTGATTTCACTAATTTATATTAAACACTTGATTTTGTATTGGGTATAGTCGATAAACAATGTTGGGTTAGTTTCAGGTGAGCAGCAAAGGGACTCAGCCATACACATACATGCATCCTATTCTCCCAAACTTCCCTCCCATCCAGGCTTGGCCATAAATTTTTAAGGCAGCATTAAAAAAAAAAAAGTACATCAAACGCAACCTCAAGAGGGAATTTTAGGGCTTTGCCTATATGAGCTTTCAACATTATTTTGAAAAAGAACAAAAGGTTTCTCTTGAATTGGCTGTTTCCCCACCCAGTTCTGTCCCAGTCACTTTTCCCAACTTTTCACTCTCTGCAGATCCCCCAAAACATACATGAATAGTTTCATTCATTTAAGTCACTTGAAACAGCAAAAGCAAATGAAAACACACTCGCCAAGAGTGAAGTTAAGACAGATGTCAGGGCCCCAAATGTACTGAGTGTCTGAAAGCCAAGGGCTGGAAACCATTGCTTTAGTCAAGTCAAAACTCCAGTAGCTACTAGCCAAGACCAAGTTGGAAACCAGAACTCAGGAGTTACAGCAGGTCAGGCCATGTTGTGTGACATTAGCTAACTCACTCCCTGAGAAACAGCTGCATTTCCTCTGCCCAGATTTTTATTTCTTGTTTAGGATTTATATTTCTTGTTTAAGGTTGGACTGTGCCTGTCAATACACACAAAAATTTAGCTTTTTAAAAAAATGCCAGAGAACACAGGTAGCAGGGATCTTAACAACAGTAATCAGTCCAATATTCTAAAGAAGTCAAGATTTTTATTGTTTATCTTTGTTAAAATTGAGTCATTATTGAGAAATGCAGATTGTACTGCTCCTTTTTCACTTCTGGCCTTCTTAAAGGAAATCTGTTCACTTTAAAAATGTTTCTAGGCTTCATTTCCTCAAGTTCCAGAGCCCAGTACTTGGATGCACTGATTATAATTCACTTGGTTTTTGGTTTGATGAAGTCCAGTTCACATTGTCTGTATTGATCTCCATGATAGGAGACTGTGAGAGGTCTTGGGATTAACACATTTTCATTGGGTAGATAGATCCTGTAAAACAGCTTGTTTCACTAGATAAAAATAATAATTTTACAGTTGCTTATAGTTTTGCCAGTTGCTAAACAAACCAAAAAAGGAAAGGTTTTCACTTTTTTAAATTTGAGAGGGGGAATCACTTACTTGTGTTCTCCCTTTTATTTTTCTTTGACTCTTTTGACATTGGCTCACTGCACCTGGCCTCACAGCACTAGTGCCTAGCCATGTTGTCCTGTAAGTTTCCTGTTTCTGAACACTGGAGGCAGCCTGAAATAAATTATTCAGAGACAGCATGCACCGGATCTATTGTCACCATAATTCATACTAGATTCAAAGCCAGACGGCTTTGCAAGGAATATGTTTTATAAGCCCTTTTCCTGTGGCTGTGCCCAGAAATACATGAAGATTTTCAGAATTGGATTTCTAAATTATTTCTTTTTCTTCCCATTTTACTTTTGTTGTCAAGTCCTCAGAGTAACACCCTACAGATTGAATGCAAGCTATATGTGTGTGTGCTTACGGGGAGAGCTGCTGCCCATTTGCATGTTATCCCCATGCCTTCCATGAGCCAGACTTGCTGTGCCCGGTGCTGACCTGATGTAATGGTGTTCTGCTTTTCCTCTCCATCTATGCAAACCCAGGACCTCTTTTGTCATCCGCCCTGGATGTTCTCTGTCCCACCTCTCCTGTCTCCCTGGCCACAGCGCGGAGGGGTGTTTAAGGGTGCCCCTTTTCCTCACATGCTGTCTGATCACCTGGCTCAGGAACGCCTCTTCTACCCTCTCAGCAGCTGTCTGGTTGGTATTTAAAAAGAAGGCATTTTATAACAGCCTGATCTGATTCTTCTCCTGAACCGTAACCTTTGAACCCTTTTCACATTTCACGTGGTTCCACTTCCTGGATACATTTAACCCTTACATTATTCACATACATAGGCATGTGTTACACATGTGTGTACATACAGTGCATATGTACCGTGTGTGCCTACACGTTCAGTTATGTTTAGATCTCCAGCATTTACCTGTAAACATCTTTGGCAGCTATATTCTTCTACCTCCTCTCCCTCTCTCATGCTCAGTATTTTGCTTTTCTCAGTACATATTAAGAATAGTGTTTACTGAAAACCTCCCACCCCTCCAGTTTGTAGCCCTGTTTTCCCCCACACTGCTTACCGTTGCTGGTTGTTGTCAATCGCCCGCAGCACAGCCTCCACCCTGACCTCACCGAGACGGCGCAGCCCCAACTCGGAGATCTCCGCTTGGCGGCGCTCCTCCTCCAACTGGTCAGTTGCCACCAAATACACAACCCCTGTCCTTTTCACTGTAGTTTTTAATCATTAACTCTCTGCCATTTTTGGACTAGATTTCCCCCTTTATTCTTCTTTCCCCACAGCTCTGTATTCATGTCCTACCCCACTTTGATGCAATAATGACTACTTGATATTCTCTTATACCATAGCAGTTCCCACTATACCTGTCTGCAATCTGAACTGCTTTAACAAAGTCTTTTTTTGCCATCCCTGTTCTGGAACCACACATGACTGCCAGACACACATCCCTTGCCAACACGGCTCAGGGCAGATCTGTCCTTCACCTGGCTATACTCTTGTGCCGCAGACTTCTCTCCCTGTCCTTTTGTTACCTTAGAGTGAGGCTCTCAGTAAACATATATGGGTTGCTTGATTGGCTATTGGCTACCACATTAGAAGTTATCACATACACACAATTTTGTAAAAATACTTATTTGTTGTAAAAATATTATTTCTAGATATATCCTCAAAAGTAAACTGAACTTCAAGTCTCCTTGCTATGCATTTACCCAGCCCTGACATGGAATTAGTGCCTGTGATGTGGGGCAGGATTGTATTACATTATAATTTGAGGCAAGACAAATGATAGCTACTAAGACACTTCAGGTCATGGTGCAAGGAAGCTCATAAACATACTCATTCCTGAGCCAGTCCTTGAAGAGAGTGGGTACTATGATTGGCCAGAGAAATATGCCATTTCCTGGAGGTGGGGTTAAGGATCAGCTTCATTCAAAATATAATGGGTAAGCGGAGCAGCGGAGCCAAACACTGGGCATCCCTTCTATGGCCTTTTGACCAGTTCCAGAGCATAAACTTGCTGTGGAAATTTCCCTCCTGGAGACTATAATTTTACTGTTAAAATTCATTTATCCAAGCTTTCTGTTTTTCCTCATGAAAAATTAAATTTTGCTCTGTGGTGACATAAACATAATCTGATTCTTTTCATGTTTGATCAACATTCCATTAACAAGAACATTTTCTGACATAGTATGGCAATAAAATGTCAGAAAATATGGAAAGCATTAATTTCCAGTAAGGTTAAATCCTCTTGTCTCTTCAGACGACATCAAAAATTTTCTTGTGCTTATGTCATTTTCTGCTGAGACCTTTCCTCATCTGTTAGTACTAACTGGACTGCTCCTGGCTAATTCACTGGCTCCCCCCTCTTTTTTTTTTTTTAAATTTGGAAAACATGGCTTGGTTGAGCTAGTGCTTTTATACCCAGTAAGCCAGGAAAAGATTGCTCATGGGTGGATGGGGGTAGGTTATAGAGGAAAAAAAACACACAACTCCATGGAAGTTCCCCACCATATACACTCCCATAGCTGGCAAACTTTCTTTGTCTGTTGTTATTGTTGTGAAGTAAGAAAACACTGCAAATGGAAATTTCTTTTACTAAAGGCAAAGTCAAGTTCAAGTCTATGGTACTGAGCTGTAAAATAAAGTTAATGGAATTTATCTGAACTCTTCTTCATGATGAATCTCTATTGAGGCTTGGTAATTTAGCCATAGTCAAGCATATTAATAACAGGACTGTGTTCATATGACTCAACTCTTTTTGCTTTGTTTTGTTTGAACTTGATCTCTAATAATTGTGTATTTGTGTGTATGTATCTATCTTGTAGGTGATTAAATAGAAAATAGACAAGGACTATAAGAACTTACCAAATAAAATCACAGTTTTAAAGTCTTAGAGCTAAATATTAAGTCTTTCTTTCTTTTATTAACAGTAAAAATCCATATTTTTTCTGGGAAATTTTCATTATCCTTCACAGTAGATTATCCTGTATTATTTATACCTTTGCAAAGTGTTGTTTATACATGTGGTTATTTGTTCCCAACTATTTAGGGATGGGAGCTTCCTTGGAAAGCTAGTGCTGTAGCCCAGTTAGAAGGATTTGGACCTATTCTTAGGAAGTTTCAAAAGAGCTGGAAATGAGGTAGAGATCAAGATATAGTTTAAAAGTAAAGTAGATGTAGTAACCATTTGGGTTAGTTCATGAAGGAGGTGAGAAAAGGAAGGGGACACCAAGGAGAGCTACAGTTGCTTAGCACGGTCTCATTTCCTTTTCATCTTCCAAAGTCTTGTCCTCATACATTGTTCAGTGCATCTGCCAAATGGTTTGGGGGTTGCCCTGAGGGGCTGAAGAACTGATTTTATGACCGAATAGTACCATTGACTTCCTTCATGATTTTGTACAAGTTGTATGTGTGTGTATGTTAGTGTCTCAGTCCTGTCCGACTCTGCGACCCCATGAACTGAGACCCTCCAGGATCCTCTGTCCATGGGATTCTCCAGGCAAGGTGAAGTCGCTTAGTTGTGTCTGACTCTTTGCAACCCTATGGACTGTGGCCTGCCAGCCTCCTCTGTCCATGGGATTTTACAGGCAAGAATACTGGAGTGGGTTGCCATTTCCTTCTCCAAGGGATCTTCCTTACCTAGGGATCAAATCCGGGTCTTCCACACTGCAGACTCTACCGTCTGGGCCACCAGGGAAGCCCAAGAATACTGGAGTGGATAGCCATTCCTTTCTCCCGAGAGT